CTTCCCCTTGCCCCTCCCCCTTACCCTCCATTAACCCTTGCCACCCCACTGCTGTTATGGCGCATCCCTCGCCATTTTGCTGCACGCATTCTGTGTTTTGTTTGCCGTTTTCTGTTTGCTGTTTGTTGCTCTTTGCTGTCCACAAATTAGCAGTCGACGACCCCAATATCGGTTTACGACCAGAGCCAGAAGGTATATACATATGTACGAGAGTGTGTGTTGAAGGCCTGGAAATTCGGCAGTCAAGGGGGGATGGCTGGGCTGGACCCGATTCCCGTTTCATCCTCACCTTGTCTGCCGACCAGACAGCTCGGAGAGGCCAGAGTCCCTGTCGCACTTGGCTGGCTGGGATGATGTTGCCACAGTTTATAGCCGTTCGCATGTCGCTCAAAGTACCACAGTACTACAGTCATCCTACAGTGAGGAGCAAGACATTAGGAACTCTCAAAAGCTTTAGTCAAGTAGCTTAAAATGAAACAGTTCCTACTATTATCATTCCCATTGAGCACTATGCCCTTATCCTTAATTATCATCACTACTATTAATGTAACCATAATTGTCAAAGTCCAGAGAACCCCCGAGATTGACGTCCACCTCGAATCGGGTATTCGTTCCCCTATCCGACTTCGGCTTCTGGGCCCTGGCACTTCTGGCTTTCCTCCACATTCTGGCGCGTCTGTCAGCCTATTCCTGTTCCCCTGTTCGTTGCCATTCAGGTTTTTTTGCATTTGTGCCTCGGGTGCGGCCCCAGACACACCTCTTACTCCATTACTCCGCCAACTCCATACTGCTCCCTGACTGTTTCCAGTTCTGTTTTGCTAGCGAAGCTCACAACAGAGCCACGAGACGGAAAACAGAGACAGAACTTTCCCGCCAAACGTGCCGGAGTGCCTGGAAATGGGGGAGCAACAACAGCGAACGGCAAAAGCAAAATAAACCGAATCAAACTGAACCGAACTGAACTGAACTGAACCGAGTGCAGCAGACAATGCCACATGGAAAGTCCTAGGTCGGTTACACTGCCACCACCACCACCACCATCGACGCCGCAGTTCTGGCATTGGCATTGGCGCTGAAACTGGCAGTTGCACCACCACTACCACCACCGGGCCAGGCCTGGAAAGGGATCTGGACTCCGGGCCCAGACAGATGCGGGCCGGGTATGAGGTTGGGGTTCTGCTTCATTGCTGGTCCTCTTCACTCCCATTTCAAAATTAAAAGTGAGAACAGTATTCATCAAAAAAATAGTCCTGTTGTGAAGCAAACAAGGATAATGATCCTTGATTCAGGTCCACCCTTCAAAAAACCAACAAATTAAGGACCACAAACTTGGACAAATGAGTTTCCGACTCCAAAAACCCGAAACTGAAGCTACTCCCTGACTTTTGTTCCCTTATATCGATTGAACAAGGAGCAGTAGCGATGTGGGGTCAGTAGCGGCTCTCTTTGGTCCCTGCTGGTGTATTATATAATACCAACAAATTGCACCTGCTCTTGCTTTGCACCTGTCAGCCAGCCATGCCCCATCAATTGCCTCTGGTTGGGGTTTGTTTATTTGTTCTCCTCTCGATGTGTTGTTTATTTTGGCATGTGTGATGGCCGCCGTGGCAGCCGTGGGGGCAGTTCAATGTCCTTCGCGGTCAACCAAATTAGTCAGCCTCCCTCGGCGTGGGGACAAATCCTACGGATTAATCAACGAACTTTATCAAAAGTTTTGCATTTGAAATCCTCAGAACGTGGTGGTGAGAGGTCAGTGGCTGGATAGGGCAATGATCTCAAAAAGTGAACAGGCCGGAGTACTTGAGAAGCAACATATTGGAAAACATGATTATTTACAGCCCAGAAAGGAACAAGGAGCAAACCAGTTGCAAGCTCAGCCGGCGAACAGAGCAACCCCCAAAATCAAGGAACAAGGAATGCCGGCATCCAGACTTTCAGACCCAGACGCACATCGTTGAGAGTCCAGGGGCAACATCATCAAGCACACAGACAACGGCGACGAGTAATTCGAACAATTTCGTTCAAAAAATTTGCGACGTTTAGCACGCGGTTTTCACAAATGAAAGCGACATTATCCAGCCTGCCACCGAACTGCCACTGCCGTCTGGCTTTCCGCGTCTTGCACACCGCTTTGTAGACAAACAAAAAGAGGTCCCAGAAACTTGCCAGGAAGCAACACATGCCCTCCTAATCAGGCCCAGACAAACCAAACAAAGACCAAAGGACGGAGGGAGCCATCAGGGAAGAAGGGCACGCCATCGAGACAAAGATGTAGACAAGTCGCTTCCAAAAATTTTTAACAGAAGTAGAGTATTTTGGAAAAAATCTGACAAATACTGAGGGTTGGTTTAAATCCAAGGGTGATGGTTCTTCATAAATTATAAGCCCGAAAATTATATTTTTAAAAACAATACTAATATAGCTAATATCGAAATATTCCCCAAACGAGCCTAGAAACCTAGGAGGGACTTCGTGAAACAAAACAGGCCAAAGGGCGCGGTCGTCTCTACCTGAGAAGGGAGGAGCCACCAAGGGGGCCAGTCCCTTCGACAGCTGTCGACAAACGGGACAAATGTCGATGCCTCCTCAGTTCGGATGAGTGCAGGTCGATGCGTAGACGACGACGACGACTTCGCAGACGACATTACTCCAACCCCATCCCCTCGGAGAGATTTGTTGGCCAAAGTTTGAGGCGCAGACAGTTTCCAGACGACAGCCGCGAAACGATTGCCTCCCCCAGATGACAAATGTCGCCCTTCTGCGCCCCTGATGCCTGAAACGTGTCCCTGAGCTTTGACCCCCAGACGATGCTGTTGATTTAGCCGAAATATTTAGTGAATCTTTGAAGTACAATTCTTGAAGACTAACCTAACTTTGCTTTCCAGAGAGATCCACTAGAGGTAGATCTTTGTGGAAACTCTTCACCCAACCTGACCGCATCCTCCTGATTTAAACAAAAACTTGGCATCTGTTAAATATAAAACCATCAACATGGACTCATTCTTTTTCCTGGCCACAAATCTTGGTTCATCGAACTGTGATTCTACGGTCGACCTCTTTGTGTTACCCTATGGCCCTTTAGAGTTGTATGATTATATCGATGTTTTCGACCAACACTTCCCATAGTTAGGGCTTCAATCTTTAAATATTTTAGCAGAAAGTCTTCTAATCAGTTAGAGAGTCTACAATAGAGATAGGGTATACCTTCTTCGACATTCTTCAGGCCAAGTCATGTTCCCTATCCTGCTTTATTTTTCAAAATGATGCCATTCTTCTCCAACTAACGACAATTGCGCCACGACTAGAAGAATTCTTCCGCGACTGGCTCCCCCTTTTTTGCACATGTTATGCCGAGCGGGATGGCAGATACACCAAGAGACAGGGACGGGGCGAGACTGAGACTGGGAACGTGGGAAGGCGCACAGGCGCATAGCGAAACCCCAAGCCGCAGACGGTGCAAAAACAGCAACAAGGAGCCGCTCTACAGAGACCAAGACCAGAGAAGGCAGAGGTCCAAAAACAGAACCAAATGGAAAATGGAATGGAATCGAATCGAAGCGCATTTAAGTGGAATTTGCTCTTTGTGCCCGATGGTGGGTCTGTGTTGGTTTTATGTCTGGGGAGCGCAGAACACCACCCATACACACACTCATATACCAAACAACAAAAACGGGGTGAATGGACGCAGCAAACGTCGCATTGCCTGCCGCCGGAGCAGCAGTCTGTGAGCCACTGCTCAGATTCTTCCTCTTCTTCTTCTTTGTGGCGAATTTGCGCGCCAAAAACCTCCTCCCCCCCTCCCTCGGCAGCGTAGCTGGCTCTTCAGGCCGTAAGAGTTGATTTTGTTTTAACGCCGCCCGAACCAAAAGAGAGCAAAAGAGAGTACCCCAAAAATACGAGCCACCTTGGTCATGGACTGTTGTGCGCCACAATGGGCGTGGTACGTGGCGCAGAGTCGAGAAGCGAGAATCGAGAGTTGAGAGTCGGGAATCCGAAACGGCACAGAACAGGAGTAGAGAAGCCGTCCGCAGAAGCTTCTGGCCATGACTACTCCCTTTGCGGGGTTCAATGCGGTTCACTCGACTGCCGTCTCGTTCTGGCCTCCCTTCCCCCCTTCAGATGCTCTGTCTCTGTTCCACTTCCTGTGGGGTACTTGACTTTCTGTCGTTTGCTTTGATCCCCTTCTTCTGCTTCTTCTGGGGGCACATTCGTTTTGTTTTTGCCCTGCACTTCGCCCGCCAAATCTCCCATTCCCGGCCATCCCCACCCTGGCCACCGCAATATGGCTCCCCTTTCCCGGTTCTATTCCGCCCCCCTCCGGCACTCCCCTGTAATGGCTCAACGTTCATGTTCCCATCTCCATTGTCGTTTGTTGGCTTTGTTTACAAGCTTTTGATGGACCACTAACATCGCACATTCTGAGGCCAGTTCGCAGATACATATACAGATACAGATACAGATACAGCGCACTTGCAGATACAGATACGCGCACCCACAGATACACAGACATGGAATGCGCGGGATTTTCGTTCCGACCCGTGTTTCCCCCTCTAGTGTGGCGCGAATAATGGGGGGCGCCCCTCCTGAGGAAGAAAGAGAGTGGAGCAAATGGCGAGAAAATTGTAATTCTCTTTGCCGGCTGTCATTGGAAATCCCATTTCTAGCTTCCCGCACCCCCCGAAACAATAATTTCCCCGCAAGAAGACCATTTCTATTACCATCGAGCTGATTCCTTTATTTTTTATTAGTTGTACTTTATTGAATTCGCCGATTGAATGAATTGCTCAATGAGCTGCCTGCCCGCCGGAGACGTGCGGATGATGGGCAGCAAATCGATGGGGAATCCCGTCCCCAGCTCATGGCGTCTCAAGTGTCATTACCCCTTGTAGTGCCTGGAGGTTATGGGGGAGAATGGGATGATTTGGCGAAGAAAGTGATCTTAGAGATGGAGTATCTTTGCTACAATTAACCCATACTTTATTTAGAAGTCACAAAAACAAAACACCACCGAACCCAATCAAACAGCTTCAGTCTACTTCCAACAGTTAACCCAACCGTCATCATCGTTGTGATTAGAATCCTCATCGGAGTCCGAGTCCGAGCAGCACAGGCCCTTGTTTAAACAGCACTCCTCATCCTCCATCGTAGGAAACGACGTTGGGAGCCCCGTGAAGAAGGAACTCTCCGCTTCCGTCGTCTCCATCGCCACAGACCCGTACATCCGGCGGGATCCAAAGTTCTGGAGCTGCACGGCCCGGTTGATAAGAGTTCGCAGGTTGATGTCCTCCTGCTCCATACACTTCCTAAGGCGCTTGTACTCCTCTTTGTCCTTGAAGGTCTTGCATTGCTTGCCCATTAGCACGGCTGCCCTGTCCTTTAGTACTTGAATTACTAGATTCTGGGCGTCCACTGCATTGATCACCTCCAGGTACTCCTGGTACATGGCACGTTCCTCTTCGTCCTCCGACTCGCTTTCTATCAAAAGCTCAAACAGATCCTCTTCCTCAGCTTCGGAGCCCTCGTCCTCCTCCTCGCCGGCGTCTTCACCATCGAGCTCTTCACCCTCGACAGCCTCCTCGTCTTCTTCACCTTCAGGCTGCTCATCACCGAGGTCAGGAGGGGCCTCCTCCTCTTCAACATCAGCCATTTGATTGGGTTTCTAGGGTTCAAGATTCAAGTTTGATTTTTGGGTAAAGAATTACATTGTTTGATGAGTATGATTCATAAATTTTGATATGGAAGTCAGAGGTGAACTGACACTCTTACACTCCCATCTATATCCCCATCTAGAGCTTCTGGGGGATTTTTATTGGCAGCAGTGATTTCTGGTGAAGGGCTGCCAGACAACACACCCACACTTTCCCGCGAAAATCATAAAAAAACGATGCTCCAGCTTCGGATGCAGAATGCAGTTTAATTTAGCATGAAGTGCAGTGCACCGCTCTATCGGCAGTTAAGCGGTTTATAACCGATAACAACCTGTAAGCCAGTAACGGCAGCCACAGTTGATGGCTCGCCTCCAACGACACAAGTTGCGCTTTTTACGGCGTCATATTTTTATGGATGCAACCATCATTGTGGCATTAAACTGGCGCATCAGGAGGAATAATGTAAGCAGAATGTGGTTACAAAGATTGTAACCTTTAGGGCCAAGATACTAAAGGATATGCTTGATAAATCTGATTTATCTGTGTCCTTTGACTTTGGAAGTAATACTCTGCAGAGTTTGCAAAAACAATTTTAAGTTCTTAAGGATTTTTTTACTCAATTGCTTGGGGTGGCAATTTTGAAACCCTTGCTTTTTGAAGAAGGAAAACCCATTTCCGTAATACCTTTGGTTTATAAACTTCTTTATAAATATCTCCACTATTTTGCAACCGATTTGAAATACCATTTATTTATCAGAGATCCTGTCTCCTTCGATATGCATTAAAAGATGGAAAGAATAGAACCAAAATATTATGGCTGAATTTTTGGCCAAAATCATAAGGTAACCCCATGGAAAAATTCCGAAAAATGGATCAAAATTTGCATAGCCAGGTTTTGTTTAATGTGTTAATGTAGTAATCGAAGTCCCAAGATCGGGAAAGTATAACATTTCTGGCTCTGACAATTTTAAGCCAAGTTATACAAATTTATCGATCACAAAAATGGAAAAAATTAGCGCTACGTATCGGATATTTTTGTTCAAACAAAATTGAAGATTTTGATATATTTTCTAATAAATATCTTTATAATTTAATGTGGCTTGGTACTCTTTGTTGAAATTTAAGAAATTAGTAAGATACTGAAGAAGAGTTCCATAAAAATCGTCCCCTCATATCGGATGTATGCAATCTTAGAATGTGTATTTAGCAGAAGCTATATAAGCTGCAGCTCCCGTCGGCTAAGCTTCCCCTTGTCGTTTTTGGCATAATTCCCGCAGCCATTTGCTCGCACATCCCTGAAAATGACAGTTGGATTAGCCAACCATCACACACACACAAGCCATGACACAATTCCCGGCCCTTGATTCCCTGGCCAAGGCCAGAAGAGGGTAGTGGCAGAGGGAGCCCCTCTGGCTACAGCTTTGGCGGCTGAAACTTGTCACAGTCGAATGCGCTTCGATTCGGTCCAAGCCAGATTACGCATACGATAGGTTAAACGCTTTAAGGCTCCGCCGTGCATTGTATATTAAATAAAGAGCACAATTTCATTTAAAAAGTTTAGTGAAAACACAGCAGCCATCGTCTTTGTGCCCACATCCTTGCATCCTGCCGCTTTGTACTGTTTGGAAAACTCATGTAAGTTTTGCCTTTGCTTTGCATGCTTACTCCGAGTACCTTTGTTTTCTTTTATTTCCCCAGCTCTTTCTTCAGCTTGCAAGGAGGGGAAGGGTTATTGTTTATGCCTCTACTGCATAAAATGATTTCATTAAAAAAGTTGTAAACTTTTTCATTTAATTTAACTGCAGCGAAAAGGCGTCTTTTGTGCAGAGGTTCTTCTGCGCTTTTCATGCGCCTTCTTTCTTCGGCAACTATCTTTTCAGTCAGCATCTGCTACCAGGATGCGGACGCTGGTTTAGTCCTGCCTTGGCTGGGGCTGGGCTGAGTTTTAATTTAACTTTTCCATTCGGATTCATTGTAATCTTCATAATCAGTTTATTCGATAACTGTTAAGGCCAATTCAAGCTGTGACAGGTTGTTGCCTTTTTGAGATTTTGATAGTTTCTAGCCTTTAACAAGGCTTTACTCTCTTATTTGTTATTTCTTTTAATCATCCAACATTCAGAACATAATTCAATTAGGGCCATAATAATAGAAGTTCCGTGCTGAAGATGAGGGCCTGTATCATGCGGCACGACAACATGTCGTATTAGTAATATTTAAACACAAAAGCTCAGCAAACGTTGACATGCGTTGCCTTTGAAGGGATGGGCGGACATAGGGATGCATTCTGACACGCACAAGGGATCAGAACCGGGGCTGGGGATGGCAGACCTAGGAGCAAATTCAATTTTTCCACAAAGAACACGAAAAACGTAAGACAAAGAGCCACCAACAACACCAGTAATAACAAAAATAATAAGCTGCTTAGAAGTTAGCGATGCGAAAGTGAAGAAATGCGTTGTAATTCCACATGATGAGCTCGGGGGGGTTGACTCTGCCGCACGCCTGTCCTGCCACCCTGCTTCCTAGAGGGGGTGGCATTAAGCCACTTGGCAGCTTGCATGTCAAGGAACGCGGTTGCAAGAGTCCCTCTGAACCCCTCCTCTTCCTTCTAGCTCTTTGCAACTACGCCCCCGGACAAGTATGTTGTGGGTGTGTGTGGCTTTCTATGAAATGCGTCATGTTGACAGCGTGGAACTGTCACTCATGCGACATTGTAATGAGTTTTGCCATCGTCAGCGACGTTGCAAGCATTTTTTCCAGCTCTTCAGTTGCAATGTGAAGCACATGACCAATTTCCAAGTAAAATCAATTAGCTTTTAGAACTTAAAGTTGGAGGTTTACAAGAATAATATTCAACTTGTAGGTGGGTTAAACAGGCCTTTCTTCTAGGTCTTACCTATCACAAGTTCAGAACGGTCTTCAGAGAGACAAAAGCTATTGGCCATCAAGAAGAGTTTGGCTCGAAGGGACGGCAGCATCGCCCACCCAAACAATGAGCCCAACTATAGGCACCCCCCAATGGATAACACAAAGTGTGGCACATAGTGTAGAACGGATGTGCAACGTAACTGTAGAAGAAAACGTAAGACGGAACTGGAGGAGGGAAAGTGAAACGAGAAAGCAGAGCTTCCATTGTAGTAGAATTCCACAATAATTGCACTGCAGCAGTTGAACCAGCAAACACTCACACACAAGACTGATTATATATAGTATATAGTACTATGGCGTAGTATGTTCCATATACTCTGGGTCACGGGGAAAGAGGAAGTGCCTAGATGGGTAGCTGGGGAGCTTGGGAACTGAAGAGCGAGAGCCAGTACGGAAGAAGTAAGAATGAAAGAGAATGCAACGAGCGAAATATCGATCGATTTTTAAACGAATTTAGGTCACAACAGCCCACATTCCGTACTTGGTTGCCACCACCCCCTACCAGCCCAACAGCCCACAGTGACTCTCCCTGGAGCAAATGCAACAACATCCGCCCCAAACCCCAAAAATGGGGGGCCTTGCATCCATCTAGCAGCAGATACAGCCGAAATGAAAATGTCAGCTGCCTTCTGCTCACGTAACTTATTTTAATTCAAATCAAACGGGAAAAATAGATTGAAATGGAGGAGGTCTCTTCCTTCCTCATGGTTATAGCCAGATTCATCTGGGGAGTAGCATAACTAACAGTGAGGAAGCCAACCTAGTCGATGGCCTTGGCTGATGAAGGCAAAAGACAATAATAGGTTACCACTGATAATCGATGGTTTTCTTGTACTATTATTAGATTTGTCGTTTTTTTGTCTTTATTTATTTATGTAATGGTATTTTCTCGCAGTGCTCTTGGCATTGTCGGATTGAACCCCTCCTCTACCTATTTTGGCCATGCCAAACACGCGTCATCAACATGTGCATTTTACGAGCCGAAAGAAAGATGACAGTGGCGGAGAAAGGAACTACAGAGGGCACATTGTTGATGTCTTGGGGAAAAACCTGGTCGTCGAATGATGATTCCCCCCCACCCCATCCCTCTTCTGTTGGTAGCAAGCAGCGTTGCAACTAATTTCACGTTTTTATGATACGCCCGCTACGTGCTGGGACAGGGCATGGGAACTCGGGCTAAATCATAGACTCCAGTCGCCAGAGTCGCGACTGAATTCAATCACGTGTGGCCAATAAAAAATTGAATACCAATATGGGATCAGCGGGTGTACTTGTTGTTGAGTAATCAAATGAAGTCGGAGAACGGGACTAGACCCTCAAAATGGGCGTTACAAACTTTTTATTCAAAACTTTCCACAAGTTGTCACCTTCTAGAGCGCCAGAAAGGCAACAAAGAAGGTCAAGGGCCATTGTTTTCCAAAAAAAAAAAATGTTGTGGGAAGACTGTCATCTGTTGGTCGTTTTAAAACCGGTACCTATTGATTAAGAACCTTCATTCAAGGTCCTATAGCTTAATGTCCCATCCTTAGTCTAATTATGCAATGTACTCGAGGAGCACTAAACTGCACCTGCCGCATCTGAGGTCGCCACGGCGAATCCAAAAACTGGGTTAACGATAAATTACAAATGGTGTCAGGTCCTCGTTAGACCTCGCCGCACCCACAGCCCCCCGTTTCCAGCCCACCGCCCATGCCTCGCCATGCCATGCCTTCGAAGGCCAGCCAAGTACATATGCCCCTGAATGCTCTAGTTTCCCTCGTGTTCGGCGCTCTGTATTCGGTGCTCTTGGCCAGGCCATGATCTACTACCATAGTTTCGTTTACAACTAATGCCAATAAATGAGAGCTTCTTTTAAAATTGCATGCTTCAAAATCGGAAATATATTAGTTTTCGATCTATGTTTAAAGGGTATTAAGGAGGTAACAACATCAATTTATGTTTTTCAAAGATTCCGTATTAGCAGGAGCATCTTATTTGTGCCAGCATGGTGTCCTACTTTCGTCAAGGAGTCTATGTTTGGCCTTGGACCTGCATTCGTTTCTCTTTCATTCACGTTTTTGTTGGCTTATGTGTTTACCTCTCT